CCCCAATATTTATCATATTTCTTTTTCATGTTTTCAGCCATCATACTTATAATCACATCCTTGGAAGCACACATTTGCTTAATCTTTATTCCAATCCCGAAGGCCTCAAACATGTACATATTGCTAGTCACATAAGATGAACCAGAGATACGCATAGTAGCATCATAAAACAAATTTAAAAATGGTAAGATACCACGCACAAACTCCCAATCACCAAATGTAGGAACACCCTTCCCTTTTTCCAACTCTTCAATGTATTTTTTATCTTGCATCTCAAGCTCTTCAAATGCCTTTTGATGTTTTAATGCAGCTTCCAACATTAAGTATGTAGAATTCCACCTGGTTTCAACATCTAGGCAAACAAGCCCTTTAAATTCAATGTTTTGTTGCTCAACACATGCCTTGAATTTAGATAGCCTAGAAGGGGAAGATCTTACATATTTGATAGCGGCACGAATTCTCACAACAGCATCAATATTTTCTTTGAATCCATCTTTCACAATTAAATTAAGAATATGTGCACAACAACGCATGTGAACATAATCTCCCTTCATAACCAAACTGTTCCATGACATTAGCCTCTTCTTGAGATATTGGATTCCAACATCATTCGATGAGGCATTATCAACTGTTAAACTAAGGACCCGATTCAAACCCCAACTACTCAAGCAATGCTCAACTGTCTTAGCCATAGTCTTTCCTGAGTGACTTGTGACTTAACAAAAATTTAATATCTTCTTTTGCAACTTCCAGTTATTGTCGATGAAATGAGCTGTCAAACACATGTAACCTAGATTTTGACGTGAAGTCCACATGTCAGTGGTGAGGCAAACCCTATGACAGTGTCGAGAAAGAAACTTTTTTAGCTTTGCTTTTTCACTATCCCAAAGTTTCAAAGTATGACGTGCTAGGGTAGTGCGTGAGTAGACAGTAAGAGAGGGTGCTATAATGCTTAAAAATTCTCGCAAAGCTTCATGCTCAATATTTCGTGCAATTCTTAGAGTAAAAACACCTTTAGAGGATACACGATATATTTGTGTTGAAGAAATGCTTGCATCATTCCTACAAATTGTTGGTCAGAATACTTGATATTGTGTAATTCGTAACACATTTGGCTAATCACAATTTGCTACAAGTGAAAATTTTCACAAGATTTTGAAGGCTTTGAATACGATAGCACCTACTTTGATGGCTAAACCATGATCAACTATGCCAGCTAAAATTAGAGAAAGCACAAGGTTCTTCCCTTTCTTCAAGGTATGTACTAATTATCTTACAATAAAAATTATAATTAAATTTGACACTACTATAATTATATTTTTCATACGATGAATTGTTATATATGTTAAATTTTAGGATTGCATTGGAGCTATTGACGGGACACATATTCCAGCAATAGTGAGGGGACGAGATGTAAGTAGTTATCGTAATCGTCCTGACGTACGTTGACCAGCGCGATTGACGTGAGCTGATGAGGCCGGCTCGTGGCGAACTGTATTACAAAGCGGGAAGACAAAGACGTGAAAGAGTCCACGGTCCCGGGAGGAAGCCTGGTAAACCAGTTGAGTGCCGGTCCTTTTAAGGAGGTGGGGAAGACTTTGCAAAGAATAGCATCCTCGTCCGTGTACAGGCCGACCTAGGTGACGAAAACATCCAGATGCTCTTCAGGGTCGGTGGTTCCATCGTATTTTTCTAAGGTCAGGTTTTTCCAGTTGTCGGGCAAACGAGCCCCGGCAATTTCTGGCGTGAATGGAGTCCTTCCCTGTCTTCGTTGTTGGTCTTGTGTTGTCGCTGGTCCACCTGATGGGCGAGGAACATTGACTTCCTTATACCATACGGATGATTCACCTTGGTCCCGGGTCGACTGGTTGCGTGTATCGTATGACGGGTGCCATGTCCGATTATCACTCCTGAGCTCGGCATTTTCTCTTCTCAGGGCCGATAATTCGTGAGCGTCTTTTTCTCGAAGCCGCCTGAGTTCCATCATTTCGGCCTTCAGTTGCTCGATGGCCGACGACGGATTAGGCTGTTGAGATCGGTCCACGTATGACTCTTCCATTCCATCCTCGTTCTGATTAGTTTGTTGCCTAGGATTGTCCCGGGGCATCCCGTAGGGGTACTCTGCGGCTGCGTTCTCCTGTTGACTTCTTGTAAGTACCATCTCGCTTCAGGGTCGAGAACCGTTCTGGTTTCGGCCCCACGGTGGGCGCCAAAATGTTCCTGCGTAAGAACACTCTTCTCCTTGATCCTTCCTAGTTGCCTTCAAGTCCTTCTGAATCTTCCGTGTTGACCGAACACTAGCTCCGCGTGGTGGGGGAGGGTACCTGCACAGGCACTCCGACGATCAAGTCAGTGTTCGGCTCAGAGCAATAAATGCATTAGCGGGAATAGTAACGTACCTCATTTATGTCACACCACCTGTATATTTATAGTGACATATGTGGGCCTGATGGGCCTTCATCCTTGGGAAATGGGTAATACATGATTTAACCTTAATCCTGTCTTAATCTGGTATGGTAATTAATGCAAAGTAGGCAGTTGGCTTGCCACGTGTTTATCATAGGCTCTTTCTTCAGGTTCTCGGCCAAGCTTGGGGCCGAAGGAGTGTTCGGCCAAGCTTGGGGCCGATGGGGTGTTCGGCCAAGCTTGGGGCCGAAGGGGTGTTTTGAATAGCTTCAGATCCCTTCTCTTTGGGTTTTTGGCTACTCACGAGACCGAGGGAGTGTTCGGCCAAGCTTGGGGCCGAAGGGGTGTTCGGCCAAGCTTGGGGCCGAAGGGGTGTTTTGAATAGCTTCAGATCCCTTCTCTGGGGGTTTTTGGCTACTCACGAGACCGAGGGAGTGTTCGGCCAAGCTTGGGGCCGAAGGGGTGTTCTGCCAGGGCATTCCTTTCGGCCTATTTCCTGACCTGAGGGGGCAGTTGGTGTGGCTCCTTGGTTCGGGCCCCCGCTTTCGGCCTATTGTCCGACCGAAGGGGTGCCAATTGGTGCGTTTCATTAGTTTGGGCGCCCCTTTCGGCCTATTGCATGACCGAAAGGGTGCTTACTAGTACACAATTGTTTTGTGTTGGAGCAAGCTTTGGTAAGTAATTTAGAGTCTTATTTGGAAGAGGTTAATGTTATGGAGTGGGAGAAGAATAGTTGGATTTGGCAGGGAAATTCAGCTGGAATGTTTTCAGTGAAGGAAGCATACAACTTTTTGGCTCCTTATTCAGAAGAGGATGAAGTTTTTAAAAAATGTTTGGCAACAAATGATTCCTTTGAAGGTACAAGTTTTTGGTTGGCAGCTTCTACACGACCGTAGTTTCGTTACAAAATATAGCAAGCAGAGGAGTAATTTTATCTACAGATGACATTTTCACAGCATGTAATTAATGATGTAATGTCAATGTAGAGTCCACTAACATTTGTTTTTGGAGTGTAACATGTTTGCTAGGCTGTGGTCATGTTGTTTGGAATGCTGGGGTGTTTACTCAGTTGGGCACAAGAATTTGAAGCAACATTTTTAGCATTTTTTCAACAATGGTTCAGTGTAGCAAAAAGCATAAATACATTTGATTCAGTTTATAAAATAAACTTATGCAGTAGTACATTGCTAGAGGTAGAACGGTGATGCAAAATGTGATTGACAGGGTGGGTGCCTAGCATATAAAGGATGTGATGGTTCAGCTAAGGGGAGGTATTTGATGTGATGGAAATTTTAGTTCAAGATTGATCATGTTGGACATTTGGTATTTTATTTGTGAGGAGATAATCCTGAATGTTGGGATATATGGGGGAATGTTTATTTTAATGAACTGTGCTTAGCTTGTTTTTGTATGTGACACCATCGGTCCCTTTATCATATTAATAAAATTCTTTAACCTTTTAAAAAAAATGTGAGAAAAATTAGTGAACTTAATCTTTAATATTTTTAATTTTAATTTATAAATTAATTCTAAATTGTTTTATGAAATTGAACACATTAAAGGATAACTTTTAATTCACTCATTCAAACTTCAATTTGTTTTTTTTTTCCTGAATACTATTAAAATTGAATTAATTAATCAATGTATATGTCCTTGTGAATTTGATACAGACTTGAATGTCCGATGTATTTTCATAACCTTTTATATACAATCTAACAATATTTTTTTTACTCATAATTTTTTTTTATCAATCTCATAAAAAAAATATTAGTTATATATAGTATTTTTGTACACTTATTGTGTATGTTTTTATTCCTTTTTTTTTTCTTCCTGTTTCTTGGTCAAATTAAATCGTTTCTAGCTCCACCCACGATTTGTCCTAGAAAAAATTGTAATCTATAAATTGTCAGACAAGTTTTGAATATTGTCAAAGCGGGTTATAATCATCACCACTATCTAATCAACAAACCATTTACGATTATAAGAAATGAACATGATATAATGAATAAGATGAACATAAAGTCTTAATTAATTGAAACCTATCTGAATTTTGATTTACAATTCTGTTTCAACCAAAAAACAGAGATATGAAATATACCTTTGTTGCTTCTAAAAAAAGAAAGAAAAAAAATAGAAAGAAGAAAGAAAGAAGCTTTTCAATATCTGTGAGCATCTTACTTTTTTTAATGTGAGCACCTTCAAAACCTTCGTTATAGAAAGAAAGAAAAAATGAAATGAAGGATTACTAATCTCACATGTACCAGCTACTGCTCATGCTCTCTATCCATCTATATCTTCCAGCAACTTTCTGCAGCCAAAAATAAAAACTGCACCAGAGGGCCAAACATAATATATGTCAATTATTACCTTGAAATTTCAATATAAAGGAATCAAATAGCCTTATAGCCACTAAAATATATGTAACCCTTATATTGATAAAGCAATTGAATACATATTTATCATTACCATGGTAAAAAAAAAATACATATTTATCATTTAAACAAATGGAAAATAAAGAATATTATATATGTTGTTCAATTAAATAATTTAAAACAATTCAACCTATTTATTGAATGCAATAAAAAAAATTGAATCCATCTGAAAGTATGAACATCTGGTACCAATAGACATATATCCTTCTAATGGCCAAACCCTTATTCGATGAGACCAGACATAAACTTATTTGAAAGAGTAAATATGTATGGAAAATCAAGATCATAGTGTCTTATGTATAAGTCAAAACTGTTTGAATGTCATTAAACACATAAAAGGAGTGTATGTTGGGAGTTCAATTAGTGGATGCCACATAAGCAGATAAAGCATGTCAAAGCCATATTGGATTTTGCCTTTTATCTCATATTCTCTTTCATACAACTCAAAACATAATTTCATTAGGTAAAGGAAGACAAGCATAATTGGTGCTAATAACACTACTATTGAAAAAAATTGAAAATTTTCAATCCCCTCATCTTTCATTATAAGAAAATGTTAACAACACTCTCTTGTTAATAAGTGTTTTAAGAATATCATTTAAATGAAATTTTCTTTTGAAATTCACAATAAAAGTCCTTGGTGCTATTTTTTCATAAAAAATAATCTCTTTAAATTCTTTAATGAATATTTTCTTTTACAAACTTTAACCAATATTTTAAACACAATAACATTATTTTATATAGTTAGCATGCCTATAATTATTGTAACTGACTAAATTATATATGACTTGTGAGGTTAGTAAGACTCTCATTTCATAACTTTTAATAAAATTTAATTTATAATAAATATTTTATTAAAAATATTTTTATTACTAAGCATTACCAAAATTTCTCTTGGACTAAAAAGGTGAGATGTAAAGAAAGATGGGGCGAAAGAAAATGAAAAAACAAAACTAAGAAAAAGTATATTAGTAAACACATTAATTAAATGGAAATAAAAAAAGAAAATAAGAAGAAAAGAAGGATAAATAATTGTTATAATTAGTAATATGATGCGAGAAGAAGAGACATAACATAAATAGGTTAAACATATAATTTAGTCATTCCACGTGTTATATTCTTAATTTGATCCCTATGTAAAAACTTATTAAATCAAGTCATTTTAGTGTAATTGTTACTAGTTTGGTCTTTGCCATCATTGACCCCTTTACACAATTTTAATTTGATCATTTTACATGTAACACATTCTTAATTTAATCCCTACATATAAGAACTAGACTAAGAATGCACTACATGTAACATCCCAAATTTTTCTACTAATACTACAAATTATATGCTTGGAGGACTAGTATAGCTATGGATATGTGGGTGAATGTTATTTAAGAGGACAAGCTATTATGGAGAATTATTATTATTATTATTATTTATCTAGACATTGTTGTTTTTTATTATTTTTGTCTTTGACTCTTTTTAAATTTGAATGTATGAATTTTTTTTTGAAATTTTATCAAATGTCAAAAATTCACAAAAATTATGCAAAATCTATAAAATCTCACAGAATCCATTAAAATCCTAATTTAAAAGTCTTGCAGAATCTATTAAAATTCTAATTTTAAGTCTTGTAGAATTCTGCAAAATCTTAAAAGTCATGAAAATCCTGCAAAATATTTTAAAATTCTCAGGACTTTTTTTAACTAAAAAGTCCTTTAAAATCTTAATCCAATACACCCCTTAGTATCTTTTATTTTTTTTTTATAAAATAAAATGAGAATTTTAGAAATAATTGTGTACGGTTATAATAAAGAATCGAGAATAAAAAGGGTATTTGTATGCATAGTGAAATTTTTTTATTTGCAATAAAAAATTTAACTTAGAATTACTTAAAGAGATTAAAAGACTAAAACGTAAACAAAAATAAAAATTTATATATAAATAAATTACTTTTTTTTTAAGAAAATTGTCAATATTAAAATGATCTTATTAAAAATAGAGACAAAAATAGTTAAGGAAGAATGTATTCCCTTATCTATTATTATATATAAATATGAGTTTAATAATAATTTATTGTTAGTATAAAAAGTTCTATACATTCCATCAATAGAAAATAGTTATTGTAAAAGTTAACAAAATTATTATTTATGATGGATTGTGATTAATTGATATATAAAAATATTTTATATTATTAGTGCATTATCATTAAATCCTATCAATATACACAATATATTGTGCTCCTTTTTCTCTCCTTTATTTAACATGATGTTAGACATAAAGAACTTTGTAAGTATTTTTTAAAAGTTTAAGATTTAAGGTTTGTATGATGTTATACATAAAAAGTTTTACACAATCAATCAATTTGAAATTATAGTTTGTATGAATTTTTAGATAGTTTATATCCTTGCTCCTAATTATAAGCAATAAATTGAAATTTTCTTTGATATTAGTATTAAGCAAGAATCATTAATTTTTAAAGTTATTTAGAATTAAATTTCTTTTATACCCTTCTTTTATTATTACTCTATTTCTTATTTATAACTAATATTAGTATGACAATCACTTTAAGTAAAAAGTATATTTAGAATAAAATTTGAATTTATGATAAAATCAATTAAAAATAACCATATTACTTGTTTTTCTTAGTCTTGATAAATTTTCCTATGTTGCATATAATTAGGAATAGAAGTAGTATTATAAAAGTCAACTCACTTTCATTTATGGTGAATTATGATTAGATAACTATGTAAAATTATTTTACACTATTATTGTATCACTATTAAATCCTGTATTTATATTAGTAACTTTGTTAATATTTAATAATAATAATTATTATTATAATTATAATTATAATTTATTATTATTATTATACCAATATTATATATATTGCATATGTAATTAGGTAAATATTTTTTTGTGGATTGTGGATTTCCTAATCGACGCCAATTTTTAGCTCCATTTTGAGGTGTAAGATATCATCTACAAGATTTTGCAGGTCAGGGTAATGACCCTGAAAATGAGAAAAAAATTGTTCAATCTTCGTCATGCGTCTTTAAGGAATGTGATCGAGAGAATATTTGGTAATTTTAAATCAAGGTTCACAATTTTTAAGTTAACACATCCATTTTTATTTAAGACACAAGTAGAACTTGTATTAGTATGTGTAGCACTACGTAACTTTCTACGTCGTTCTGATGAATTTCCAATTGAAGCGGTGGATGAACCTTCATCTTCAACATTACCGGTTAATGAAGATCATACTTTTAAGCCTATTATTCAAACCTAGGAGCAAGAGCTAGAAGAGGCTAATGCTTGGAGGACTAGTATAGCTATGGATATGTGGGTGAATGTTATTTAAGAGGACAAGCTATTATGGAGAATTATTATTATTATTATTATTTATCTAGACATTGTTGTTTTTTATTATTTTTGTCTTTGACTCTTTTTAAATTTGAATGTATGAATTTTTTTTTGAAATTTTATCAAATGTCAAAAATTCACAAAAATTATGCAAAATCTATAAAATCTCACAGAATCCCATGTTAATAATATATAGGTACCAAATTAAAAATTCATAATAGAGTCAACCGTCAATGTATGGTGATAAGTAGGGGTGCAAACAAGTCATACCAAATTTTGGCCGGCTTGAGACTGACCTATAACAAAATTACTAAGTTTGAGTATAATCTATTTATTTTCTATAGGCATTATTTTAAGGTTTGGCTTGTTTTGACTTGAAAGCCTATTTAAATGGCATGTGTAACACTATTGTTTTTGTATATATGTTCTACATGATTATTTTTATATTGTTATATGTTTAATTTTATGTTTTTAGAAGGTAACAGGCAAATAGGGTTGAAAATCCTTAAGAGCTAAGTTATAGAGCTATAATTTTAGTTGAGGTCAAGTAGTTTAACCAAATAAGGAAAGATGTACATATAAATTTTTGGAAACTGAAACTTCATAAGTTTCATTTTAAGAAATCTCTAGTGAGAAGTTAGAGAGGAGCTCTAAGACTAGGAAGACCATTTCTTCATCTGATCTATCTAGGAATCTCCATCTCCTTCCTTGAATTGCTAAGGTCAACCTCTATGGATCACAAATTTGTGGAGAGAAGTCGACCCTTAAGGGTTTTGTAGTTCTTCTCTTCTTCTGATTTTAGCTTTTAAAAAACTAATTGAGGTAAAAAAAGATTATTGGTTGGTTGATTGATGTTGTTTTAAGCCTAATGTTGAGTGAACCTTCATAGGTTGAAGGTTTAAGTGTTGGAAAATGAATTATCGCTTAATGAGTAGGATGAACATGATAAAGCTTTATTCAACGACATGAGATTGCTAAGCAAGCTTTGGCCACTATGGTTGGTCTAAGTTGAGCAACTAAATGCTATAGTCTTGCCAAGCAAGGTGTGGCCTCTATGATAGGCTTGGGGACCCTCACTTAGCGAGATGGTTTCGTCAAGGGAGACTTAGCTGTTAGCAAATTAACTATTTTTGACTCGTTAAGCTAGGCAACTTCGCTAAGCGAGTAATGGTCTCTACCAAGTTGTGTTCTAGGGCTCATTAAGCCAAATGTTGTAGTTGAGTGAGCCTTGATCTTTCTACCTGAGGCCTTTGTTGGAGGTTGCTAAGCTAGAGGTGCTTACAAAGCGAGTTACCCTCGAGCTTCTATTGCATGAGAATCTTAGGATAGATGATGATTATGTTTTCAAGTTGTGATGTTTGCAATATTGTACCATTGTGATAATCTATCAAGTCATTATTACAATGTATTTTATACAAGGCCTATAAATAAATTGTTGTATACAAGCAAAATCTCACATTGTTAGAATAAGAGAACAAACATGAGTTTATACACACACACACACAAAATTTCTATTGGTAGAAGGTCTTTTGGATGATTTTTTGTTTGTGTTGGGTGTTTTTTTTTCTTCTATTAGAATCCAGTTGCTATCACTAACAATTAGTATCAGAGCTAATGGTCGACCAAGTGACCAACATGATGAGTAAAATAGTTGGCAAATGGATATGGATATATGATCCATTTTATCAAAAGTCTTCCTAATGGTGAGTTTATATATGGAAGAAAGTTTTCTTGATGACATGGAAGGTTAGGAGGCGTATTCCTCTATCATGAGTTCATGATAGAGCGACAATACAAGTACTTAGAGCATGATTGGCCTCTATAGACCACCATCGGATATACATGTGGATTGATAGCTTTCGTTGTAAAGGGGGGTAATCCATGATTCTTTGTTTATGGAGAGAATTGTTGGATATAATCAAAGTGTCGCATCATTAAAATAAGATGATAAATATGAGTTTATATATATACACACAAAGTTTACTAGTAGGAAACTTTTTTAGTGATGACCAAAAGTAAAATTATAAGGACTTAAGCTCAAAGTAGACAATATCTTTTACCAATGTTGAGACATGTGTATATGTTAAAAAATCTCTAATACACAACATAGATCAATAAGCCTAAATACGCTAATAGAGCCAAATATTAAATATATTATTATTAATTATATATATTAATTAAATTAAATTAATATAATATTATTTAATTTTAAATAGACTAGCCTATTAGACTTAATAGACCTTTTTATTAAAAGCTTAAACCCTAACATGTTTAGTTAAAAAAAGTTTTCTATAAGTTTAAGTCTAACATTTTTAATGAACTTGTCAAACCATAGGCCTTAACATGATGTCTTACTTATTTTCCTGTTGAGAAGAACCAAATTGTAATGTTTGTTGTTATAGAAATTGATTTAATATATTTTTATGCATATTGATCAAATTATATTTAGCCAAAAAAATAAAAATAAAAAGAAAAGTGATAGGTGTATATTCAAACTCTAATTGATATATACCTAGAGAAATATAAATACAATGTGTAATATATCGTGATAGAAAGCAATGAATAGAGAAAATAAATAAATGTTAATAAGATGTTTAGAGTGATAGAATAGAAGTATAACTAGTAAAATGAAAGATATGGTTTAAGTGTTTGCAATCTTGACCATCCAAAAATCAAAGTTTTGAATATTAATGCTCATGTGAGACATATATAAACCCAAAATCCACAGGAGAGCATTGTACCTTGTTTGAGTAGCATTAGATGCAAGAAAATGAGAAATGGGCATGAGAACTACTTGATTGAGAAATCAAGCGGGAACAACAGTCCTCCCATCCTCACTCTCACACCGTTGTTGATGGGGTTGTTCCTGCGACTGCTGCTGCTGTGGAGTGAGCAACAATTGTGCCTCCATGGGATGTTGTTGTTCTCCATGTTGTTGCACCGGGTAAGGCCCAACATTCTCAAAGCTTCCAAGAGACAAAGAAGGAGGCAAACACTCCACCTGGCTCCCAAACCCACCACCACTCTGCTCAAACCCATTATCAAACTTCATAAACTCTTGCTCCTCATAGTTTCGAAACATAACTTGGTGCTGATGCTGATGCTGATGCTGGTCCTGGTGCTGATCCTGATGTTGGTTTCGTTGTTGATCTTGGTACTGGTCGTGGTGTTGATGAAAATGATGATCCCTAGGTACAAGAGCCATTTGCTGAGCTTCTAGAAACTCCTGCGGTGGTGTGTCACGAATGACCATCTGGTCACCGCCACCACCACCGTGGGCAACCAAAACTTGGGAGGCCACATTGTTGGCGCCGCCACAATTATTGAACATAGATTGATGATGCAAATGGGGCAGCATGGGTGGCAACATGCCAGGATTGGCCAAGAGAACCTGCATGGCTTGGGGGCTAACATACGTGGATAACTCCTTCTTGGCGTTGTGAAGCTCCGTTTGGATTTGACGGAGCCGTTGCTGCAGCAGGGAGATGAACCCCACGCAGCCATACACGGGGTCCCTCAAGCGCGCCTCCGCCTCGTACGCCAGCGACTTAACGGCGTCTTCACGTTGCGCCATGCTGAGCTCGTTCAGCAGCTTCGCCACGTTACTCGCGCCGAACACGCGGTGCACGCACGCGAACCGTTGCGGGTTGTCCGGCGGAAAGTACGGCGCGAACACGCACTCCTGAGTGCACTTCCGCCGCAGAAGCTTGCACGCCGCACACGGTGAATTCGACGATGACATCTTCCACAACCTCCCTTCCTCTTCCTTCACCGTCACCTGAATCGTGCAAATTTATCATTTCATAACGTATTAAAAACGCGATCTGATCATTCAATGCATGAGAGATCAAATCATCAAATCACCAAGGCAATGGAAATCAAATGGTTAATCGATTACAAGATTAGGTTATTAATCAAATGTAAATTCAGGAACCAGGGAGATGAATTTCACGTACCGATTTTTGCTTTTGGATTAGAATAATCCATGTTATTGAAATTAAATCTGGATAATTCGGATTTAAAAAGAAAATTCTATAATTTCATGGAAAGTTAATTTGCAGCGGTGAATCTGGATATGACTCTATCTACGCAGTGATGAAGAGGATAGATGAAAGGAAGTGAGAAGGAGCTTACCGAGGTGTGAAATGGAGGCTACAATACAACGTGTAGAATAGAATTTTTCACGGCATCGTTGGTTGAGGCTGAGAACGAGAAATGCGATGAAAAAGGAAGAGATGGAAGCGATTTTAGTTTCTTCAATTTTCAGCGCTACTGTCACGAGCAACCTTATTCCACGTTGCTATATTATTCTTCTTTGCAATTTATATAATGTTATCAGAAGATTTTTTGGTACGTAAACATGCAATGTAACTATTTTCAGAACTTTCGAAATTATTTATTAATATATATATATATATGATGATACATGTTAGAAAAGTAAGCATTTAATAACTTAAAGGAAATATAAACAAACAAAAAAAGAAAAAAAATATATTTCGAGATAGTATACTTTAATTAGCTAGTTTTCAAAATTAATCATATTAATTATTCATCTAATCGATACAAATGATATAAATATCATTAAATAATTTTTTTTAAAATATAAAAACTAATTTAGTAACCTAAAAGCGAGTCTACTGGTGCGATGCATTAAAAAAATAATCTAAAACTAGATAATTTTTTTTTTGTTGAAAATATGAAAGTCTAGTGAATGTCAATTTGAAGGTATATATCACAGTTATACACAAAAAAATTGAAGGTAGCGCAGTTAGAATTAATGAGACACTAGTTTGAGATGAAGATTTTAATCATTAAAATTTAGACTTTTTTTTTGTTGTTGAATATTTTGGATGTCAATTAATATTTTGAAGTTGTTTCGAAGTTTGACAATCTCTGGTAGCGAAAAATATGGGAAGTTTATTACTCTCTTTAAATGGATTTTACCATTCATGTCATATCAAAAAATAAAAATAAAAAATGACAGAATCATGTCATATTAATTTTACAAATGTAGCAGCTTTTCACTCTAATAGTTTAACATTTTTGAGAACTTAAAATAGATCTCTCATTTTTTATATTTCTTTAAAATAGATTCCATGAGTTATACCTCAATTATTTTTTAATCTTCAAAAGTTGATTCTTATATAAAAATATTCATACACATGATTCTTAATGTTAATAACACCTAACAACTATTAGAGAAACTATCTACAAGTGCTTCAACGTGGTGACTAAAATTCCGGCATATAGTAACACTATGAAAAGTAGAGAAAGCCTACCAAACCTTTTGATAAGAAGCATTAGTTATAGTGACCATAGGACAAGATAAAAGAGATAAAGTTGTTGTCCTCCGTGTAAAAGTTGTTACGAAGTGAGTTGCCAAGTTAGTGCTCAAGTCATGACAATAATGGAATGATCTATATATGTAACTAAGTAAAGTTGTTAATTTCAGTCATAATAATAATAATAATAATAAAAGTAAAGTTGCTAATTGGGACGAGATTTTGAATTCTTTTAATTGATTCCACATGTGAAGCTTGTTTAATTATATCTATTTACATGAAAATTATAAAATCTTACTAATGTTAAAAAAAATGAACTATAATAACATGGTGCCACTTTAACTCGATTTTCATTATATTTATATTTTTTTTGTTTGAATATTATTTGGCTTTTCATAGTTTTCAAGTATATAAATTTAATATTTTTTTTTTAAAAAAAAAGTGTGTGTATGATGATGTCAATGAAAGTAAAAAGGAAAAGAAAAAAATATTGAACATATAATTAAAAAAATATTTATTTTATTATTAATATAAATAAAATCATATACCAACTCAACTAATACACAAGTAAGATGGGAAGAAAAATACATAATTATATATTTTTCATTCATTTTGTCTCATCTAACCTACTTTGAATCAATAATGAATATATTATTATTTTCACACTTTACTTAAAAAAAAATTGATAAAAATTAAATATATTTTTAGTCTATGAAATTTTTTTTATTTTTGTTATTGAACAAATTTATTTGATTTTAATCTCTGAATTTTATTTCCATAAACAAAACTTTTGACGTGAAAGATAAAAATATTAACGGGAGAAAAAAATTAAAAATTAAAAGTAAAAATAAAATAAAAAATCCAGAGACTAAAATAAGTAATAAACAAATTTATTCAGATACTAAAACTAAAAATCCGCGAAAAGATAAAAAAAACTATAAAAAAAAACTAAAAACATATACCATCCTTTTAATAATAAAAAATTAACTTAACTAAACAATTTGGTTCATGATATATACACCTCCTTTTTTCTATAAGTACACCTCCTTTTTGAAAAAAAAAGTAATTAAAATTTTAAAATATTTTTAATTTTTAATTTTTTAATTTTACATCTACAATATTTAATTTAGTATTTTTTTTCATACATCTTCCTTTTTTTTTTCCTTCAATTTTTACATACACCCCCTTATCTTTCCTTCACCCCACCTATTTTGATAGCATGTGAAAACTAAAAGAGAAAAAAAAAGTATGTGAAAAAGAAGAAGAAAGTAGCAAATTAAAAATTGAAGGTGTAAAATTAGAAAATTAAAAAAAAACTACAATATTTTATAATTTAAAAAAAAATAAAGGAGGTGTACTTAAAAAATAAAGGAAGTGTATATATCATGAGCCTTTTTATAAGTGCACCTCCTTTATTTTTTAAAAAACTATAAAATATTGTCATTTTTATTTTATTTTTTTAATTTTACACCTTTAACTTTTAATTTGCTACTTTCTTTTTTATTCACACACTTTTTTTCTCTTTCAATTTTCACATGCTACTAAAATAGGTGGGGTAAAGGAAAGGTAAGAGAGTACATATAAAAATTGAAAAAAAAAAGAAAAAAAGAGGAAAGATGTGTAAAAATTTACTAAATAAAATGTTGTGGGTGTAAAATTAAAAAAATAAATAAATAAATAAATTTTAAAAATTTAATTATTTTTTTTAAAAAAGAGGTGTATTTATAGAAAAAAATGAGGTGTATATATCATGAACCAACAATTTGTTGCTATCCTTCACTGTTACTAGTGTGCTTCCGGGCAAAACTACGGCCCAAACAGGCCCAGAAGCTAAACCCCTAATCTCAAAACCCCCATTTCGCGTCACACGGAGTGACAGACAAAACAATCATGGCGCAGTGGTGGCGCTCCGCCGCCGGCCACCTCCGAACGGTGGCGGCGAACCGTTCCTCCACATCGGTGTTCCGTCGCAGACACTACCACACGATCCAAGCCATCCCAAGGGAGAGCAGCGGCAGTAGAGTATCGACCAGAGACCGAATGCAAGGTCGAATACCTGCGGTGGTTTT